TAAAACATATAAATTTATAATATACCTTGTATTTGTGGCTTACATTATATTCCTGCGAGTCAGTACTGGCCTAGGGAAGTAGTTTTGCATGAACTAGGTTTCCTATTTTATTTCTTTAATGCAGTCTTTCGTGTTACTTGTAAATTTTAAGCTTGAGTTATGAGACACTGCCTTCGAATGTTAATCTTTCATATCCTTTACAATAATTACATTACTATTCAACTTTAAAAAAAAAAAAAAGAAAACAACCTTATGGCAACAATATTTTCCTGTGACACCGGGGTAAAATCATCTTTGCATCTAAACTGGCTGTGCAAATCTATTCTACATTATCTATAAAAATTGGGTCTTCAACCAGTAAACAAAGAAACAGAACATTACTACAACAAGGCAATGTTTTAAAAAATCATCGCCATGTTAAAAGTCTTGGGCAATCTTGCCTTAATGTGTCATTTCATGCCAGGACTATTGGAATAGTCGCCTAAATGGCCTTGCTGTTCCAAGTTCTAACTTTTTCAACCCATCTTTGACACAGAGCGATGTTTCTGTGTGATGACGTAACTGCTCTCCTGCGTACCCAGCGGGGATCCCTTGTCTACATGGTAACGCTCCAATTCCTGTAGTGATGCACAAACCCATCTAAGAACTGGCCCTTGTCCACTTCTCTGATGCCAGCCTGGCCCCTGTGCCCCTGTCATGTAAACTGCTTGAAGAGGTGTCTCACAAACGTGTGTCTTTCTTCAAACTATTTTCTATATCATTTCCCTCATCCCCTCCATCCTAATATGGCAAAAACTGGTTTTATCCTGATCAAGTTGAAGATCTTCTAGGAAGCTCTCTCTAGTCCCCTGCTCTGCCTGAAAATTAGCCAATCCTTCTGAACACTCCTAACAGCATGTATAACAGTTTCTAGAACTTATTAGGATGTCAGGTCTCCCCAGTTAAAGGCTTCTCAAGTGCAAGGACCAGGTCATGATCCCTTTTGCATCCTTAGCACCAAGCAAAGCGCTTGGCGCGGAGAAAGCTCTTAATAAATGTTAAATGACCTATTCTGAAAAACATCCATGTCCACAAACAGACTTACACTCTCATCCCTAACTGACTGAAACCAAAGAGACATCTTCTTACCCATTCCCATAGTATGACAAAACTATCACAATAGTTTCTATTTCGTATAATCCCCACAAAGGTCTAATGTTCCTGTTAATGCTGTTCATAAAAAATCACCTGTACCACTTTTAAAAATACAAATGTCCAGGCCACACGATCTCTGAGAATATAAATTAATAAGGCTGATATAGGAGCGTAGGTGATGCACATTCGGAGTCAGACTCGAGAACCACTGAAGCAAAGGGCACAAGCCCTGCCCCTGCACGCCTGGAATTTCAGTGGGTGAAGTCGGCACCCTAAGCGATTGCTCATAGATTTCAAAATGCAAAAAGCATATACATTCTATACGTATACTGTGTTCTTGGATCAAGTTGATTTTGGCAGGTGTACCCCAGAATCAGCACGCTCACCGATCAGGAGTTAATATTACACTGAGAATAAAAATAAAATATTTACCTATCGAGAAGGAAAAAAGCACCATTCTTGTCAAAATGGAGTTCTTCATTAGTACCTATACTTTTAAAGTTGTCCTGATTTAAGAAAATGTACCAGCTACACCTAAACAGATTTTACAAACCTAAGGGTACATTTTATGTTTGGAATTGGAAGAATGTCAGAAACAAGACTAGATTAGTTTTCCAACCAAATTTTTGTCTTCAAGGGTCACCTGTCCTAGTGGAGGCGATCATGTACTTCAGGGATAACATCTTGGCTGAAGAACTCGATAGGTTTGTGGACTTCGTCAGCTTTTGTTATGATTCTAGACTTCTCAAGACAACATATAAAAGAATTCTCTTTTTCAATGTATTTTAAGGTCTTTCTAGTTCAACTTTTGTTATTTTGATAGACTTTATTATATTCAAAAATGCTTCTAAAACATTTCAGGTTTTGGCCGACACATCATTCAGTTGTTTACTTTGCTGAAATGCCTTCA